ACAACAACAACAACAACAGCAAAGTTGCATTGAAATTTGAAAATAGAACAGCAGGGCATTACAGCACCTGGGTCAAAAAAAAAAAAAAAACCCAAGAAAGTTGCATTGAAATTTGAAAATAGAACAGCAGGGCATTACAGCACCTGGGTCACGTCCACGACAGGAAAAAATAAAAAAACAGAGGAAGGGAACAACCATCTGGACGTCATAGCATGTGGATACATGCGGCAAAGTGCTTTGTCTGAGTTTGCCCGCAGTGAGGGAGACGGCTGACCACAAAAGAAGCCAAAGAAAAAAAAACAAGAAACAAGTTCAAACAACCCTCAGGACGGGAAAGCAGGTTAATACATTCTCAGTAGAAGAAGTGCGAGTGTGCCCTTCGTGACACGGTGTAAGCAGCGCGTGGAATGTGCCCTGCCTCCCTGGCAGGCCGCTAAACCAAAAGAAAAGGAGAAAAAAGAAAGAAAACATCAACAAAAGAGTTACAAAATCAGATATTAGCCAGAATACTGGTTAGATTCCGTTAGAAATAGATACGTTTTTGAAAGTTTCGGTGAGAGCTCTATAAATTGTGCCTCGCCTTCCATAACAGCTTTCTTCTCGTTACAGTCTTGTCTTTTTTTTCTTTTCTTTTCTTTTTTTTTGGTCGTCGGGGCCCACAAGGCCCAAAGATTTTCTTTATTCCGAGCCTCCGGAACCTCCATTGTCCTATTTTCCCCCTTTTCCCAACAGTGAGAAATGAGGTCGTGGTTTAAGGATAGCTACTACCGTCTTCCCCCGAACACAACGCACCCTCATTTTGGCTGTATCTGGCTGGAAATATAGGTTGTATACATTCATTTTTAGGGTGCGTTATGTTCGGGGGAAGACGGTAGCTACCATTCAATTACTCCCAGTAGAAAAGATTATCAAATAGTCAGAATGGATGAAACATGTAGGTAAAGTACCCAAGACTACATGCATGCTCACAATGGTAGTCCCTCACACTCGCAAACCACAAAATGAGTGGCCAGATCGAGTCCCCGTAAAGGATGGACTAGGCCTGGACGCTCATTTCGGGATTTTGGGATTTTGCTATTTTGAGGGCCTGGTGTAAGTATGCCCTACTACTAGTTTTTTCTTTTTTGTTATGAAAGAACAGAGATTTGGAGCACTTTTCTTTTTTTTCTTTTTTTTTTCTGCTGCTTGAACCAACACAAGAATGTGTTCCATAGGCATACAGGACCATTTCATATTTACACAGGAGGCAAACATAATGCCTGGCCTTCCTCAATCACCAACAATGGGAGACGGAAAGAGGGTTCTACAACTTCTACTCCCTCCTTCTACAGATGCACCTCGAACTTGGAGAAAGTCTTCTCAATCAAAAAAAATAAAAAAATAAAAAAAATCAATCAATCAATCAATCAATCAATCGATCAATCAAGACACTGTCAGTCCCCTGGTGACCCGGGCCGCGCAGGGACCTGGCAGGGACCGGGCAGGGTCCCAGGCGATCCCAGCGCATAATATTTTACAAAAAAGTGGGGGGGAAAAAAAAATGTTGTGTAAAATTGCAATACAAACGACTTTTGGCTAAGGGCCACCTCGAAATTCCTTGTTAATTTTAAGATTAAAAAATATAAATGAGAAAACATGAGTCCAAATGTACCCTTTTCACCCCTTTAGTCACTGTTTATACTCTCCCCAACCCTCCCTGGATGACCCCATCACCAAAACCGAAGTTAACACCGGATTCTGACTGCTTAGGCCAAGCGCAGTCCTGGCCTGAAGTCTTTTTTTTTTTTTTCTGGACCCTTGCCTCTTTTTTGACCCGTCTGGTTTTGCCGGGCGACCCCCCCCCCTCTGCCCAACTGGCCCGGGTGTGCATGGCCAGGCGACGGCCCGACATAGTCAAGATAGCCTTCTCCTGCCCATTGCATTACTTTATTCAAGATACAATGACAAAATAAGACCGGACAGATTGTCGGAGAAAGGACATCCATCACCGCCACGGCCCCTTTAACTTTCTCACTCGCATATAAACAGCATCGATTGCCGAAGTCAACAAACACCGGAGAGATGTTAATGACGAACGACGCTCACCTGCATTGCTGAGACCAGATAGTAAAGGGTGTAGTGGTATTTTCCCAACACAATCCCCTTCATGTCAAGGCAACTGTGAAGAAACGATGTTAACCCGGCTAGCGCCACACTGCGCCACCATGCGAATCGTAGTTCACGCCAACAACAACAACACACAAGCACACAAACAGGGCATCAGGCCAGGGGGAAAATCTGACCAATCAAAATGGCACACATCAACATCTTGAGAGAATTGACATCTACAAATGGACACACACCCACAAGTGGAGCTCTCGGCGAAAGGTCGATATGCAGTTGCCCGGGACAAACATACCAATCAGGCAAACGGGCAGAATACACGAAAACTGTCGGATAAAAGCAAGAGAAAGCCAGCGGACAACGACGAGATCTGGAAGACCAGAAACATGAAAGCACAAGCTCTTCGTTCAAAAACAAGATTGGAGAACCACTGGGGAGGCCAGGCCTCTCATATTCAACAGTCAAGAACCGACAAGGGAGACGATGATTGTCCCGCAAAAAGTACATCCGCGACCGAACAGATTGTCCCACAAAAAGTACATCCGCGACCGCACAGCACAACCTAGATATGGGAAGCTGATTATTGACTTGACAGTGCCTTTCAAGATCCAAGCTCCACTGCGCTGGGACGACTTTTCTATCGTTCTGGTTGTTCTTGCCTTGCGAATTTCAGCGCTGAGTAAAAAAATAGTTCGTCTTCCCAAGCTCCCGGAAAGCATAACTCTGTCCAAGTTACAGTCGTCAAGGTTGGACAAAAACTCCCTCGTGACGCAAGCCATCCCGAATGAAAAAAAAAAGTACCTAAAAGACTTGATAAAAAGTTAAACAATGTTTAGAAAGAAGGTCCGAGAATTCAACCGAAATGAAATGACAAAATGAATACAATGAATACAAGCTGTAGCGAATACCCAAGGCATCAAAGATGCATGTTCTACGGGATCCACAAACCACCAACCGCCCCAACCTAGCTCATGATGAATCAGAACAAAGAACCAGACCACAATCAACCAAGCCCAAAATACAAACACATGCTTTGGCAATTAGCTTGAGACACCGATGCACACATGCCGTGCACATCCACCCGGATACAGGAGAACACCACACCTGCCGTGCACAGAAAGAGACAAACAGGAGGAGACCACCACACTTGTTTGTGCACATCCCACCAATATAAAATAATTAGTTGCATTTTAGCTTTGAAGGGCAACGATGCCCGCCCTCTTCTTTTTTCCTTTTCTTTTCTTTTCTTTTTTTTTCCTTAAAAAAAAAAAATCCTTTTTTTCCTTCCCTCTTTTTTTTACGGGCTGACACGGTTTCCATTGGATGGTCAACCAGAAAAATGTCAGAAGCCATCAAAAAAGTTGATCACACCCTTGGAAGGCAGTGGGGTGGAGAGAGAGAATTTTGCGAGCTTACTGTGACAGAAGGATCCGGTCCGAATGATAGGGGTTGAGCGTGAGAAGCCCTTTCCCTAAGTGGACAAGTCCTTGAGCTATTCGGACCTGCACAGGCAAAAAAGAATGCAATCACGTCAACCGCCAAAGAGCTGTCATTGCACGAAACAGGGTATAGCCGAGGCCGAAGCAACACCTAAATACGTCCTTCGGGACATCCATTACAATCGGATCGATACAGAGAAGATTAGCATGGAAGCACGTCAACAGAAACATATACTACAACATGCAGATCACGTATATGGCCACAGCCACAGGCTTGTGGAAAACTAGGTAGACGAACTTTGTGCTGGCTATTCCAGGAAACAGGACACACGGTACATTGCATGACATAAGCATGCATAGTATTGCATACAATATATAAGTACCTTGGGACATACCGTTTAAATCGGAACGACACAGAAACAACGAGCGTGGTCCCCTTCCAAGCGTAACGAACACAAATCGAAAAACATTCACAGATGCAAGCAATCTAAAAATGCCCAGAACGTCATTGGATTAAGCAGCCATGCACTCAAGAAAAAGAAGATTGTGTACATGATACACGCGTTGGGGACCATGTGACAAGATGAGAGTTAGACCTTCACTTTCTGTTTTCACCTGCCCTGGTTACCAGGAGTTCGACCTCGTTTCAGTTCGCCTATTGGACTAACCATTCTACAACCTGAGGTCCCCTCGCCTGATTCGCCATCAACCCCCACCCCTCACCTATCAGCAGGGATTGTCACGAGGCAGTAGTGCTCGTTAATTGGAAGACAACTGAGGGCTTCCTTCGCAACGAGAGTGAAAGCCAACCAGCAAAAGAAAATAAGATTGAAAAACACCATGCAAACGACTCGCTGCCACTCGTCCTTCGGAACATCCGTTAAATTTGGATTGCTACAGAGAAGAAGATTATTAGCATAGCCGCTGCACAAGCATGACACACACACATTATGAAAAGGCTCAATTCAACCAAAAAACAAAGAGGACTCTCTGCCACTTACACAGAAAAGGAGACTAGGATCCTTGTAATAATAACTGGAGAGATTCCGGAGCATCCCTGCAATCCGAGCATTATTTGTCCCCGCGCCAATAAGTCCCAACCCAATCGTTGCGCCCTGCAGATGTCCATAACAAGGCAAATGTTAGTACTAAATCAACGTACAACGAGCACTCGTGAAGGCGAGAACTGCAAGCACAGAGATTGAACTCAAACTCACAGCACTCTTCCAGCACATGGCAGCACTGAAGAACCTTGGCATGCAAGCAGCTTTGCAACATAACAAGGCAACCAATATATTGTCATAGAGAACTGCCGATACCTGTAGGCAGGGAGGGAGAAGAGGAAAATAAACGAGGGGCTGTGACAAACTGTTCCGTTGCAGTTCCACTGACTCGTCGGGAGGCTGTTGTAACAGCAAGGATGTCATCTCACCATGGCAACTTCCGAATCGCTGTCGTGACTTAATCTGCTCAAGGTGTCCATGACATTGATCTGCTCGAAAAAGATACATTCCAATACCGCMCCCCACCCGACCCCGCCACACACACATGGACACAAAAGGAGATGCAAACGAAATACTGGTCAGGGATTTCCGAGAGAGAGAGAGAGAGAGAGAGAGAGAGAGAGAGAGAGAGAGAGAGAGAGAGAGAGAGAGAGAGACAACAGATCAGTCGTAAGACTTTTTTTTTTTTTAATGTAAAAGGCTCCAATCTATTCGTGGGAAGCAGCATGTGCTGGGAACTGGGCCCAGCGTCCCATATGGAAATTTACATCGAATTTTGAAAGTTTGAGAAACCGGGGCCATTACCCGGCTTCGACCGAGAGAACTGTAAGAGAATTTTGAGCTACTTAGAAAATTACTACGACAAACTACAGAAAAAAGGTCTACCCACAACAAAACATGCCACCACAGAGGTCCCACAAATGCTCAAAACCCTGTGAGTCCCTAGCAACCCTTCTAAAGCTCTCCAGCACTGTCTTACTCCCTGCCGAGCTCTTCCAGGCCTCACACCCCCACCCTGCTGGGTTACAGGGCAACACAACTCGCCCCAGCTCCGGCCAGCGTCGTCCCAGCAGCAACCCTTGGTTGTCCCTTGGAATGCCCACCCCAAAGCATCCCCAGATCTCTCTACCAGGCCTCCCACTCCTGCATCAGCAGGTTACCGGGCAACACCCCACCACCGGCCAGCATTGTTCTGGCATAGAACAGCCGCAGATCACTGAGTATATCAGCAATGGAGTCGTCTAAGATGAGTTGCTACAAGTCCCCAGAATCTTAAATCTTTCTTAAGACCCCCATTGGCAACCAAAACCAACAAACCATGGATAAAGGAAACACTCAGAAACATCATGGCAAGTACTCAAAACTCTACGAAGTCACTCGCATATGTGTGTCAAAAAGCCTCCCAACCACGAATCAGATAGGTGAAAGCTATTCAATCCACCTACGACCACCACCAGCATGGCTGTTTTCAGCACGAACCGAAGCTCTTCCAAGCCTCATGCTCCTATCAAGTTAGGCTACAGGAGTTGCACCACCTTGATCAGTCGGAAGACTATCAAAGAACCAAGATACTTTTCTCCCCTTCGTTGTGGTTGTGGCACTCGAGCCGAGGGTCCAAAGGAGACTACTACTATGGGAGCTTTGAAATTAAATCACAAATCACAACCACATCATATTTTCTCGTCGAGTCAACAACATAGAAATAAGCAGGAACAACGATGAGACGAGATCATACAAACATCGTCTCTTTTGATGGAAAAATTACACCCCGACAAGTTATCCATTGCCAAACAACAACAATGTGAAGCACAGCGGAGATGCTGGGCCCCTCTGCTACAAGCCGATCAATTCAATGACAGATGCCATACAACCGCCGTCTTCACCCAAAAAACATTGACAGGCTTCATGTACGAATGGTGGCAACTACGCTGAGGATCTAAAAAATGGTAAAGAAACATAAAAAAGTATAAAAAAAAAATGTTGTGTCAAAAATTCTCAAAATAATAAAAATATGAAAAAGAAAAAAAAAAGGTTGTGTAGAATTGCAGTGCAAAAAACTTTTCGGGCCTTTTGGCTGAGGATCCACTAGTGGTTAATGGAAGCGCTTCTCCACTAGTGGTTAATGGAAGGCTAAAAATTCGGGGGTTTTCGCCGCGTTGCTACAAGCAATGTTGTCGAAACTTTTGCGAACAAACTATGCAGGGTCATAATACAAACATAAAAAAAAATAGTCAGGCAAAAAAAAACGAAAAAATCAAAATCAAGAGTACTATAAAACCCTTTTTGGAGTAGCTTTCGGAGTTCGCCAAAGCTTTTTTTGAGTCTGCTGTTTTTGCTAAGTTTTTTGTTACTGCTCCAAATACGGCGAAACTGAATGGAGATATACCCTAAAGCACATATATAACAGGCAAAAAGAAAAACCAAGAAAAAAGTAAAAATTTAGGGAAATATGGCAGTTTCGGTGAAAAATTCACCAAAAATCAATTAACCGCTTCTCTGAGGATCACTTCAGATTTCCTAAGTTGAAGACTCAAAAAAATAAAAAATAAAAAATAACACTCAAACTCAAGCCATGGTAACCGCCCGGACGTCCGGACCGGGTTCCAGACATTCCGGTGTCCGGTGTCTGGTGTCCAGTGTCTGGTCCCCATGTCCAGTGTCCAGTGTCCGGTCCCCATGTCTGGATGGAGGCCCCTGGGGCAACAATCCAAAAAAAAAATGGGGCGGCCCAGGACGTTTGTCGGGTCCTAGTCCGCCCCTCGAAAAATAACGGGGTGATTTTCAAGTGTCCTTTCACCCCACCGGACATGGCCTAGAGGTCCAGACACAAGACACTGCAGGTTTTTGAGGTGGCGGGTTTCGAACAGGCCCGAGCAATTTCAAAGCAGCCGTTTCGACATGGCACCCGTCGCTCCTGCCCGTTAGAAGAGAGAGAGAGAGAGAGAGAGAGAGAGAGAGAGAGAGAGAGAGAGAGAGAGAGAGAGAGAGAGAG